CCCATCCCAGCATCATCACTCCACAGCCCCAACAGTGAACCCCAAAATGGCTCTCATGCAGAAACTTGCAGCACCTCAGCCCTGGGGAGATACTTAGTGTCAAGGGTGGGTTTTTTTCCCAAAAAAATTCTTCATCCTCCTTTTCTCTCCTTGGTCAAAGCTTCTGCTGGGGCAGGGGCTGATAGAGAATGTGGCTTGTCCCCTACTGCTGCCCTCGGGGCTCCTGTGTGCACGCAATGAATATGCATGGTGCATGCAATGGTGAATTTGCTTCCACCAAGGTACATGCCATGGGTTTGCATTTGTCATGTCACTGGTGCTGGGTTTGCATCTGCTGCAGTGTACACGATGGGTTTGCATCCATTGTGTCACCTGCGATGGGTTTGCATCTGCTGTGGTGTGTGCAAGGGCTTTGCATCCATCGCATCGCGCGTGACAGGATGGCATCCACCATGGTGGCGTGGCAGGTTTGCATCCACCACGTCACTTGTGATGGGTTCACCTCCCTGCACTGGAGCCGCATGGCCACCAGTGCAGCCATTGGAGCAGCGTCAGAGCCGGAGCAGCCAGTGCTGAGCCTCACTCTCTGCTTCTCCCACAGGTGCTGAGTGGCCCCAGCGCTGGGAGCCAGGGGATGCCGAAATGCCTGCCCGGAGAGGAGCCCACTGGGGTAAGCAGTGCCCGCACACAGCACTGGAGGCTGGGCACAGGCTCCAGCCATTGCTCACCCTCGTTTCTACCTGCGCAGGGGCCACTAGGGCCATGCCGAGCTTGTCCCCCTGGTACCTTCTCCTCAGGGACCGGATCCTGCTCTGCTCACACCCGCTGCTGGGCCGGGAACAGGATCCTGGTGGCATCGGGGACAGCAGTGACCAACAGCCGCTGTGGAGGCTGCCTGCCAGGGTGAGCCTGGGGCTCTCTGGGGGACGCTGGAACCCTCAGCCCCTATGCCACTTGTGGGCCCCATCCTGACCCTCCCCTCCCACCCCGCAGGTTTTACAGCCCTGAAGGGGAGAGGGAGCCCTGGGGTCGGTGCCTGCCCTGTGCCGTCGCTCCCAGCAGCACCTCGGGGTGCCCAGGTGGGTGCCGTGTCACCCCGCTTTGGTGGGTGGCTTGTGCCGGCGTTCAGCCCAGGGATGCATCCCTGCAATGTCCTGCCAGGATGTGGCAGCTGAGAACATCTCTGCTCATCACACAAGTGGCTTCTGCTTCCCTCAGAGGGGGACAACAGGATTTAATTCCACCAAAACCCCACTCGGAGGCTGATCTGGTGCCTTCCTCCCAGGCCGGCGGCGAGCCCGCAGCCCCGAAATGCCGGGTCGGGTGGCAGGGACCAATGCGACCCGGGTGGCCCTGATGGGTGAGGAAGAGGAGGAGGAGGCAGCGGCGGCACAGGCGGCCGTGCTGACCATCGTCCCTGTCTTCTGCACCATGGGGTTGTTGGGCATCCTGGTCTGCAACCTGCTGAAGAAGAAAGGTTACCACTGCACTGCTAGCAAGGAGCCCCAGCCTGGTGGCACCGGTGAGCCTCTCTTGGTGACCCAACATCAGCCCATCCCCATGGCTTTTGGTCTTCATCATCCCAGGGTGTCCTGCTCATCCAAGGCAATTTATCCCACATCACTGAGTCACCCCCAAACTTCTACCTCCAGGTCCCAGCTCCATCTACCAGCTGGAGGATGCCAATGAGGACACCATTGGGGTGCTCGTGCGGTTGATCACTGAGAATAAAGGTCAGGGAGGGTGGCCCCTGGGCGGGTGACATAGGTTGGACTCTCATGACCCCTCTCGGTGTCCCCCACCCACAGAAAATGCTGCAGCGCTGGAGGAGCTGCTGAAGGAGCACCATGGCCAACAGCTGCTGTCGCCGGGCTGCACCCCCCTGAACAAGTAAGACCCCCCTCCTCCTCCCAGGACTGCACCGAAGACCCTCCTGTGGTAGGACCAACCCCATGCTGATGGCATGATTTCCCCCTCATTTCCCAGACTGCACCTTCTGCCTCAGTTTCCCTCTGCCTGCCGGCACCAGCAGCACCTCCACACAGTGCAGGGCCCAGCCCCATGCACCCGCTGCAGCCAGAAGTGGCCCGCGGTGGTGCCAGCACTCAATGCCACCAAGGTCCCCAAACCTGGGGCTCGTCCCAGTGAGGTCACCATCCTCTCCATCGGCAGGTAAGTGGAGACCCCTTCCCCGGTGTATCCTTCCCCCCACCCCAACTCCAGGATGGGGACAGGCTGATATGATGCCACCCTCCAACAGATTTCGGGTGTCGCGGATCCCAGAGATGAGGAGCGAGGTGGGAGCCGAATCACCCCGTAGTCCCCTCCCTGCTGGTAGTGGGATGTGGCCTCCATGGTTGAAAAGCACTGACTGCCCTCCTGAGGTGAGGTGGAGTCGTTATGGGGTCCTTCCTGGGGGAAGAATGGGGCTTCAGGAGGCTGGAGGGTAGGTCATTAACTCTGAAGCCTAATGAAGGGCATATGGGGATTTGGGAGGATAGAGCAGCCCTTTAACCCCAGGCCTCTTCCAGCAGCTGGGAGGCTTAAAAAAAAACAAACCCAGCAACTTAAAAAATTGAGCCTGAAGGGGTTTGGTGAGTCCTACTCACCACATTTAAGGTGCTATAGGGGGGTGGGGACTGGGTGCTGCTGGAGGTGCAGGTGTGGGTACTGGTGGCACGCCCCCCCTATAGCCATACAGAAACTGGGACACAAAGGGGGACGTCGTGGCAGGACGGACGGGGTGGCATACGCTGTGGAGCGCCTGGCACGGGGCGACACAGCCAGGGGCTGCTGTGTGACTCATGGGCAGCTGCACGGGCACACACGTGCGCACCCCTCCCTGCAATGGGTGCTGCTGCACGCAGCCACGCTGGCAGCCGCAGTGCCTGTCTGGATGTGTATGTATGCATGGAAACATGTGCACACGTGTGGGTACAGGTGCACGCACTGCTGCACATGCACACACACACACGCAGAGGTGAACATATGCACATGCAAACCCACTGCACACATACATACACCATGCCCATGCTTGTATGTACATGCACACACACGTATGCAGTTGCACATGCATGGAAATGTCTTTCTGGACCTCTAAGTGTATATACACATGTGCACACACATGCACTTTTTCTCACCCTCCTGAACATGCACACACTTATATGCATGGAGGAACATGTGCAAACCTGGGCATGCAACCCTACCTCTGAGCACACGTGTGTACACATTTGTACACCCACATGTATGCAGTCCTGTATGTGTGCAAACACATACAGAGCTAAGCGCACATACACAGAGATGTGCACATGACACCCACTCACACACCCCACAGACACGTGCAGACCCACCTCTGCACACACACATAAATGTGTGCACATAGACACGCATGCAAATACACCCACACTCACACTTGGAACTCTGGGAAAGTGGATGCACATATATGTGCACACGTGCACTGGTTCCCACACTGCCACACAGGCACGTATGTGTATGCAGGATGAGCATGTGCAAAAATGCACATGGAAACCTGCCTCAGCACACAAACATATGTATGCAGCCACATCCGTGCACACAGCTGTGCAGATGTGCACCCATTCACACACAGCTGCCTGTGCATGAACACATGCATGTATGTACGTGCATGCACACATGCGCAGTTGCAAATGCCCCTACATGTGCACAGGGAGCTATGTAAGTGTGTGCGCACCCCCAGGGGCCACCCTGGCCACCACGTCCCTTCTTGTCACCCCAGGCCGTCCCCAGCTGTTTGGGGAAACTGACTCAGCTGAGCCTATGGTCAAATCCTGATGGAGGGACCCGGACCAGCTGCTGCATGTGGGGACACCTGGAGGTGTGGGGACAACCTGGGTGGTTGCCTTTAGCAGGAGATGTCTCTTCCAACATGGGATGTCCCTGGGTGGTGGCAGCCACCATGGATGTTGGCCCAGGGGGTGATGCTGAGTGGCTTCTGCCACCTTGGCCAGTGCAAAGGGCCCGATCCAGCCTCACCCGGAGACGTGGTCCATCTCTTGTCCTCCACAGGTGGCACCTGGCCTGGGGGCTGCCTAGGGGGGATGGTGACATCCACGAAGACCCCACAGAAGGGACAGAGGACATTGGGGACCACCTGAAAGCCAGTCCCGCTTAGTGCCATGAAGCACTGGAAGTGGCAGCTTGGCTTCTGCTCTTGCCACAAAGGTGTCCACCAGCAGCATGGCAAAGCCAACATCTTGCCTGGCTGGTGAGAAGGTTTCCCTGCCCCTGAGGTCCGGTGGTGGCCACGGCATGGTGGCCTAATGGAGAGCATCTCTGGGAGCCACAACAGCACAGCACAGCTCCATTGGAGTCACCAAGCAGTGGAGGAAATCGCACGGCCAGGATGCCATTTGATGGTCACCTTCTGGGTATGTTGAACTGAAGCCTTTCTAGGAACATCCCAAGTTCTTCATTTCCCTCCATCACCAGGTGCCGACACTCACCATCACAGACAACGACGGTCTCTGGATCACGGGACAGCTCCCACGTTTCCAGCAACCCAACCAGGGCATGGGTTGCTATGGCCAAGGCTGGTCTCCTGCATCCACATCTCCTCTATCCAAAGTCTCAGCTCGGGAGAACATGGTGGGGATGCTCTGCACACCATAACGATCACACACTCCACTTTCCATAGGCGCTGCTTCTATAGGATCCCGTTGGTTTGGTCACATCAAGGTCAGTGGGACGACCCACCCAAGGTTGAGTTGGAGACCCTCAAGCTCCACCACCAACCTCGAAATGGGCTGTTCCTGTTCACTTCTGACCATATTGCCGCGCCAACAAACCAACCACCAAACCCTCTCGGGCTCTTTTATTTATTTTTTTTTTTTGGAAACATTTTAATAGTTATCGAATGTTCTACATCTTACAGTAAATATCATACAGTTACAAACTCTTGGCTGAAATCTGTCAGGGAGATCACGACCTGATCTTCAGAACCAAAACCAGAACAGAAAACAAACAGGAAAAAAAATAACCCAAAAAACCCAAATTTACACTTCAGATGGACAAACCGAGGCTGTGGGGCTTTCCAGGGCATCAGTTCAAGCCCATATTCCCTAC